CGTGAAAATCGCGGAGTATTATAAAATTTTTGTATTCTATCTCGAGCTGCATTCTCGGTATTTGTTTTTGAGGGACGTGATTGAAAATGAAAAACAATTTGGGGATGGGTATTCGCGTTTTTATGAATTATGATGAATTTTTTCATGAATTTTTCGAGAATTAAACATAAATATTTCTCGAGGGTCGGGGGTATACGTATCACGTGCCATTAAATATATTACAAATTTTGCTCGGGATTTTTATCAAACAGTATAAACAAACGGAATAGTGCAGAGTGACTTTGTATGAATACGCCCTGCTACTTTTCATTAATTGTGTATCTTGTGAAATACTGTACACTGGAGCAGATCAATTAATACCTTTTTTCCTACAATTACAATAGTCTCTTTATCGGAAAGTTTTATTACAATTGTACGATCTAGAATTAAAAGCAAATAATTACATGTATGCGTGGCACATGGAATTGTAACTGGTTGCTGGAATCATTTTCGCGTGCAAATATAATTTATAACTTCATTAAAACGGCCATTTGTTTTGAAGTATTAATTTTACGGTGTTTCGTACCTGAGCTCACGAGCACACCTATATCACGGGCGTCTGCGCTTGTGGGCGAAGCTTGTAAATAATTAGTTGACGGTGGAGTTTTGAAATTTTGGTTTGTTGGCATTCAAAAAGTTAAAAAAAAAAGATATTCACGGTAATTAATACGTAAATAAAAAGAGCGGAATACTCGGAAAACATGAATGAAAGAAAAATATCATTTCCGTTACAATCGCAATGTAAAAGTTCCAGGGAGGATTAGCATGATAAAAATTTTGGCTCTATTAGCCAGTAGAATTACGCGTTTACGGATTTTAAATTTACAGATACCTCACAAAAAATTTTTACGAATCTTAAATTTTACGACCATATTTACATAGAGATATCTAAGAAAATTTGACGTACAAATTCACAGGTTATAAAAATTCGTCGATGCCAATTCGTCTACCCCTTACGATGATTCTACACCAATTCCTGCGATCCAACTTGAACTTAAACTTTTGCGATATACATATATTAATAAAATGAAAGCTGAAAAATCGTTCCTTTCGTAATCGTAAACTTTCCGGGTTCGTTGAACGACGACGGATGAGAAGTCGGCATAAAATAGTCTGATCGATTTTCTCCCGACGTGCCCGACTAAGGATGACGTTAGGATTACACTGGGATTGTAGGCATTCGCATAAAAAGTATCGTCAAATTAATTTCCAAGCTTTTACTACATTATCACTTTATGTTATATAATCATACATGCCATAGAAATTGTACAGTTTGAGTGTTAAATTTTCGTGACGAAAGGAAAACCGTCTAATAGATTTCGAACGGCTGCCTATAACAGGTACTTTAAGGAGTTTATTTACAATTGACCATTCCGAGTATCAGGTATTGGTATACCTACCGCATGACCATTCACAGAGGTATACCAACCCTTAGCAATCAAAAGCTCTCTTCCTGTAGTGCACGTGCACCCATAGTAGCATTAGCGTAAGACACGAACGTAACGTTCCGCTAAAAATGCAGTTGGCAAAGATCATCGGACTTTGGTAGGGTTGCGGCCAAGTCCTCCTCATCGATGGATGCTGCCATTCTATTGGTAGAAATTCGTTCCAGGATCCGCCTCGTCGAAGGATTTTTCTATTGCATACTTTTCTCCCTCGATACAACTCTGGCGAAAGTTCAAGTAAGCGAATGGCGCACTGGCGTCTCTGTATAGTTTTTTCTTGGCTTATCTCACTCTCACCCTTTCACTCTGTCTCCTACGGGCACGGTTATCCGGCTTCTATACCTTTCTCTCAGGACTGACGTTACGAAACTGAAAGCAAATAAGAAGAAAGGGATAGTCCTATGTAAGAGGGCGAAAGGTGGAAAGATGTTCTAAGAGGGATGAATTGGATCTCTGCCGCCAGACTGTGGAAACGTTCGCCTATGTTGGTATGCGTGAGTCAGTGTCGAGCGCTATGTAGACTTCTGTAGAGGGTGGTACAGAGGGCGCGGCGATCAATGCCATCGTGGCTCTACCGGCCGACTTACCACCCACGCCAACAAAACTCCCAACAGTCCCCCCCCCCCC